CTTCACCTCACATGGGAGCAACACAAAGCAGAGGAAGTCTGTAAGCCAGATAAACTGCAATTACGAGGGGTTCATTTTGTCAGAGCTATGCAAGGCATCCAGCACACAGACCGGCCTTGCCTCTAGACCAGCTCACCGTATCCACCCTGTATGTCTCTGCTAACCTGCACATGTGCGTGGAAATATCCTCTTTGGCGTGATAAGTAAGTTTCATGCAGTGAATAAATTTTGAAAAATTATTTTAGAGTGAATGGGAAATTTTCCTTATAATCTTCATAGTAGAAATCTCAGCTATGGGGACTCACATTCTGCTTTCACACTGGGTTTTTGTTTCCTAACGGTCTCTTTGGAAGCATCTAAATTGCAGAGCCATGATGTGGGCATATACAGGGACCGATGCTGTGCCCAGGAGCTACAGCACAAAGGGGCACAAGTCAGAGCAGCCAAAGGAAAGGCTGCAGCCCCCTGTCCTGCAAGGAGATCCTCTGTTCTCCCAAAAGCAGAAAAACGTTCAGAGACCAGCCAGAGCTCAACGTGCATTCAAGAGATCTGCCTTATTTGCGATTCTCCGCAGCCAGGTGCATAGCAGCACCATAGTACGGGGACACAACCCTTGAAAGCCATCTCCAGTTTCACATCTGAGTCCAGCAGCCCTCCTAAAATAGCATCAGCCAGGAAAAAGGCTACTTTTTCACTCAGCAATCTTCTGTCCGATCAAAGTGAAACCTCATTCTGAAAGCCACCTGCTTCCGAGCACAGAACCCAAAAATGCCCACCTCTCCCCACCGCCCCACAAGCACATGCACACATGCACTTTCAGTGTTTTTTATAGTTCCATTTCCACGAAGTTCAAAACCTGCTGACAAAATCATTTTAATGCAGTGTGGATTGCACTGCCCAGGCATAGGCATTTTCAGCGCTGTCAGTTGAATGTGGAAGACATCATTGCAAATGTGAATGTTAAGAAAATAGTATTTTTAGGAAAATGTTAGGAACTTAATTTGTTATCACAGGCTTATGTTTGATTGTTTTAGATGTTGTCACATCCGGACCTACTTCCAGTGACTTAAGTGTCAGAAATCTGCTGCACAGCTCCCCTGTAACTGCTATCAAGCTCTGAGCATGACTCATAATGATGGCCCAAAACGTTCACTGAACTGCTTTGGGTATTTTTTTTAAGCTTTTCCTCCCTCAGATCAGAAGGGAACATTACTGTCATCAAGCCTGCGCCCCTGTAAAATGCCAATCCAACACCTAGTAATTCCTCTGGTAAGCGCATTACGTTTGCTGTTTCGCCCCAGCCACAGAACTGTTCGAGACTCCAGGCTTACTTCAGAGCTGCAACTGCGCAGAGTGGCAGAATGTCATGTCTGAGCAGAGACATTGCCTCAATTTCTCCTTTTCCTAACAGATGTACAATCTGAGAAGGCACAGACATTCAGCGCTGCTCTGAGATACGTGACAATACCGACAGAAAACAGTAACAGCCTTCTTCAGGAGGCCTGCCTCCATCTCTACCCATGCAGGCTAACACCTTTCAAGCGACTTGCGCTGCGAATGCAGCCTGCGAACGACTTCCTCCGCGCGGTCCTTGCCTTAAACGCCAAAACAAGATCGGGCGTGCTCTCATCTTGAAACAAACTCTGCTCCTCTCCTCTGAAGCCGTTTCCTTCTGCTCTCGATGCATTTAACCTCGCCAGGCTCCGCGCGCGCCTTCCGCGTGACCTGCCACCGAGCGGGGCTCGCCC